TAAAATAGGCTCGAGTATCGACATCAAGCCCAACAGCATAAAGATGATGTGACCAAACAATAAAACCTAGAATACCAATACTTAAAATGGCATAGACCATACCAAGATATCCAAAGATCGGTTTACCTGAAAAGGCTGATATAACATGGCTTACAATACCGAAACCAGGTATGATGAGAATATATACTTCAGGATGCTTCTCTCTTCTAATAAATATCCCTATTTAGTCCCTGTACATTCCCAATGAAGTAAATAAGGAAATTAAGGTTATAAATAGGGGTTTATACTAGTTATTTGAGAGATGGACTATATCTTCACCTTATTCCATTTAAAATTTAACCATGCTTTATGATGATTATTATCAGGTTTATAAGCTTTTAGATCTTCTAGCCCCAAAGGAATTTCCAGAGAAGTATATCCCTGTTTGCTTACTTGAAGGCATTTATCACCATCGATTAGACCGGCTAGCTATTCATAGAAAGATAGGAATAAGGTGCTACGCATATAGTCTCTGAGGTTCCTACTAGACTACTTTTGTGTCATTGGTTACCTGCTGATTGTACCTTAGACATAATATTTTCACTTGATTCAATAAGTAGACCTCTTATGTTCATAGTAATTATGGCTAGATTTAGGCATTCCCAGCATATAGCGTAGTTCATATTCATATTAAATGAATCGGGCCATATATGACCAAAGAACCAAAAAAGATGTTGATATAATAATAAATCACCTCCACCTGCAGGCTCATAGAAAGACGTATTAAAGTTTTCGATCTGTAAGTAACATGGTGATTCCACCTGCAAGAACTGGTAAAGATAATAATAATAGAACGGCTGTTACTAATACAGCCCAGGCAAATAGGGGCATTCGATGTAATGAAATTCCTGGAGCCCGCATATTTAAAATGGTTGTTATGAAGTTAATGGCACCCAACATAGAAGAAATACCAGCAAGATGTAGGCTGAAGATAGCTAAATCTACAGATCCTCCAGAATGAGAGTTGATACCTGCTAATGGGGGATATACTGTCCAACCTGTTCCAGCTCCTTGTTCAACAAAGCTACTGGCAAGCAGTAATCCTAATGCAGGAGGTAGTAACCAAAAGCTAATATTATTTAATCGAGGAAATGCATATCGACAGCACCTATAAGTAATGGTACAAAAATATTACCAAAACCGCCTATCAGGGCAGGCATGACCAGGAAGAAGATCATAACGAAGGCATGTGCCGTGATTATTACATTGTATAATTGATGATCACCTTGTAAGAATTGTACCCCTGGCGCAGCTAACTCTAGTCGTATAGCCATTGAAAGGCTGTTCCTATCATACCAGAAAATAAGGCGAAATAAGGTAGAGAGTACCAATATCTTTAGCATTGGTTGAGAAAAGCCAGCGAGCAAGCATTTTGCTTAATAACGCTTCTTTACTTATCATATATGTCCAATAAAACTGATCTTCACCAGTATCTTAGGCGAAGGCTTCCATCACGTTTCATGATGCTTGCTCGCTGGCTTTTCTCAACCAATGCTAAAGATATTGGTACTCTCTACCTTATTTTCGCCTTATTTTCTGGTATGATAGGAACAGCCTTTTCAATGGCTATACGACTAGAGTTAGCTGCGCCAGGGGTACAATTCTTACAAGGTGATCATCAATTATACAATGTAATAATCACGGCACATGCCTTCGTTATGATCTTCTTCCTGGTCATGCCTGCCCTGATAGGCGGTTTTGGTAATATTTTTGTACCATTACTTATAGGTGCTGTCGATATGGCATTTCCTCGATTAAATAATATTAGCTTTTGGTTACTACCTCCTGCATTAGGATTACTGCTTGCCAGTAGCTTTGTTGAACAAGGAGCTGGAACAGGTTGGACAGTATATCCCCCATTAGCAGGTATCAACTCTCATTCTGGAGGATCTGTAGATTTAGCTATCTTCAGCCTACATCTTGCTGGTATTTCTTCTATGTTGGGTGCCATTAACTTCATAACAACCATTTTAAATATGCGGGCTCCAGGAATTTCATTACATCGAATGCCCCTATTTGCCTGGGCTGTATTAGTAACAGCCGTTCTATTATTATTATCTTTACCAGTTCTTGCAGGTGGAATCACCATGTTACTTACAGATCGAAACTTTAATACGTCTTTCTATGAGCCTGCAGGTGGAGGTGATTTATTATTATATCAACATCTTTTTTGGTTCTTTGGTCATATATGGCCCGATTCATTTAATATGAATATGAACTACGCTATATGCTGGGAATGCCTAAATCTAGCCATAATTACTATGAACATAAGAGGTCTACTTATTGAATCAAGTGAAAATATTATGTCTAAGGTACAATCAGCAGGTAACCAATGACACAAAAGTAGTCTAGTAGGAACCTCAGAGACTATATGCGTAGCACCTTATTCCTATCTTTCTATGAATAGCTAGCCGGTCTAATCGATGGTGATAAATGCCTTCAAGTAAGCAAACAGGGATATACTTCTCTGGAAATTCCTTTGGGGCTAGAAGATCTAAAAGCTTATAAACCTGATAATAATCATCATAAAGCATGGTTAAATTTTAAATGGAATAAGGTGAAGATATAGTCCATCTCTCAAATAACTAGTATAAACCCCTATTTATAACCTTAATTTCCTTATTTACTTCATTGGGAATGTACAGGGACTAAATAGGGATATTTATTAGAAGAGAGAAGCATCCTGAAGTATATATTCTCATCATACCTGGTTTCGGTATTGTAAGCCATGTTATATCAGCCTTTTCAGGTAAACCGATCTTTGGATATCTTGGTATGGTCTATGCCATTTTAAGTATTGGTATTCTAGGTTTTATTGTTTGGTCACATCATCTTTATGCTGTTGGGCTTGATGTCGATACTCGAGCCTATTTTACAGCCGCTACAATGATAATTGCCGTACCAACGGGGATTAAAATATTTAGTTGGTTAGCTACTCTTTTTGGCGGTACTATTCGATTTACTACTCCAATGTTATTTGCTATTGGTTTCATTTTCCTATTCACTATTGGTGGTCTTTCAGGTATAATCTTAGCCAATGCATCTCTTGACATAGCAATGCATGATACTTATTACGTTGTTGCCCATTTCCATTATGTTCTCTCAATGGGAGCTGTTTTTGCCTTATTTTCAGGTTGGTACTTCTGGAGTCCTAAAATATTAGGTAAACCTTACAGTGAACTTTTAGGTACAATACATTTCTGGACTTTCTTCGTAGGAGTTAACTTAACTTTTATGCCTATGCACTCTCTGGGGTTAGCCGGCCTTCCAAGACGTATCCCTGATTACCCAGATGCCTTTGCAGGTTGGAATATGGTTGCTTCATTTGGTTCTGTAATTTCACTAGTTTCTGCTTTCCTTTTCCTTTATATTTTATTCGATCAATTAACTTCTTCACTACAGGCTAAAGCCAATCCTTGGGCTATTCCTGCTTTCTTTGAGCCTAATACTCCTATTTCTTCTACTAGATCAGCCCCAACTCTTGAGTGGCTAGTATCATCACCACCTTCATTTCATACGTACAATGAGTTACCCATTTCTTCTTAAAATTGCCCCTTTGTCCCGATTCAAATTCCGACTAATACAAAATTATAAGGTGTGTATATCAGTTCTTAAAATGGATTGAAATTGAATTCTGAGACTTAGTAGTAAATTTCTTTAATTCTTTCTCATGAAACGTCTTACTCTCGAGCAAATAATGGCTCTGTACCCCGAGGCTTTTATTTTTAATATGTTAGACATTCGCCTAAGGAGAGAGCGTCACAAAGCCCTGAAAGGCTTAGCAGGGGTGTATGTATTCTTTTGTCACGATAGCGGTAAATATTATGTGGGTTCTTCTTCTAATATAGCCAACAGAATAGATTACTATATTCCTTCTAATGCAAACTCTAAGGCGAAATCAAATAGTCTTATTCTTAGGGCTCTTTTAAAATATGGACTAAGCTCCTTTGTCCTTTTGGTTCTGCCTCTTCAAAATCCTAAAAGAGAAACTTTATTGGAACTTGAGCAAGAACTAATAGATACACTTTCTCCTGAATATAACCTACTTCCTCAAGCTGGAAGCTTTAAGGGTTACACCCATACGGACGAAGCTTGCTCTAATATGTCTAAGGCTAAACAGGGCAAAAACAACCCTATGTATGGTCGTAAAGGAATAGAATCCCCTCGTTATGGTACAGGTCAAAATTTATACATTTATTCCTCTGATAAACTGGAACTTATAAGCGTCTATAAATCTTTAAGGGAAGCACAAGTTGCTATGCAAAGTGACATGCGAACTCTCAAGGCTTTTGCTAATTCTCAGAAAGTATTCCGTTCTATGTCCATTCTTTCTTTAAAACCTCTAGAAACTAAATAGTAGTCAATCTTAGTGTCTTATTTTCTTTTATTTCCCCTTAGCGGCATAGGTACGCCTAAAGGGGTTGAACTAATTTTTATTTCTTTAAATTATAACGATCTTCCTATTTCATCTTAATAAAAACCCCCAATCCCTTATAAAATTTCAAAGTAAGTTATTGGTGAAGACCAATTGAATTATTCATTTTTCTGCATACCCTTTTTAGGCGTACCTATGCCGCTAAAAGTACCACACAAATTTTTACCACCACCTTGGTTCCACAGAACGCTACCTGTGTTCCAAGGAACTTCTAACGTAACTCCCTATCTCAGCCAATCCTTGGGCTATTCCTGCTTTCCAAGGAAGCCTGCGGTAAAACTCATCTTTTCTAATTCTTGTAACCTAGCTTTAGTTTCTGTAATTGAGCTATAAGTTTACTAATTGTGTCTCTTTGTTAAGAAAGGAGAGCATTTTTTCTATGCCGATTTTCCTTAGGATGGAATTCCCTTACCCTATCTCTTTTCACCCCCTTTTCACCTTCTTTACAATGCTCCTCATGATAGTAACTAATAAGGGTATGTATAGAAGTTAAACATTTCGAATTGTTACTTTATTTAAACATATAGGCCGCTTAGCTTAATTGGAAGAGCATAATACTTCTAATATTATTTATTCAGGTTCGAGCCCTGAAGTGGTCATCGTAACTCTGAGTAATCTCAACATCTTCTTTGACTTTCTCTGGTATGATGTTTATTTTGTTTTTTAATTCTTAAGGTAATTCTTGATTCTTCCCCTTTGGATAGTATCCAATATAGAATTATTCTAATGGGGAAGTAGAGTGGAAATAATTGCTACCTTTATAGTAGCCCCATATGTTTACACTGATAGGGCACAGGTAATAGCATTCTAAGACTTTTAATGAAAATAGTTTTAACTCAAAACTTCTATACGGATCGTAGTCTAATGGTAAGACGTTCGGTTTGGGTCCGAAAGATTGTGAGTTCAAATCTTACCGATCCGACATTTCTATTTTAGTCAGAATAAACTCAATTATAACTCTTCCAATTCTTCTGCCAACCATTCAATTAGTTAATTGTACCAATTAGAGAAAGAGTAATAACTAGCTAAACTATTCTCCTTTAAAAGAAGATTTAGATTAGAAGGAATAGTATTGCTTGGTAATTATCTTTATCAGATAACTTTATAATATTGTGAATAGGGATGGTTATCATATTCTGTATTTCAGGTGTAGAAATAGTTGGAGGAGATAAGGGGGTCACTTATTTAATTAAAAAAGTTGATAAAAATTTACCCAGGAGGCAATAGCTCAATAGGTAGAGCATACCGCTCATAACGGTCAGCTTGGTGGTTCGAATCCACCTTGCCTCAGTCATCTGAGAGAAACCCTGGCCCAGAAAGAAGTACAGAGGGAGTACTAAAGAAAGTTTTAAGTTAACCATTTCTAATAAGAGAGTTAATATGTGAATGAGTATACCCCCCTTAACACTCTTTCTTTGCCCTTAACCTAATTCCTCTATCTCTTGTTGATTTTGGATAAACCCCGGTCCCAGTGACGATTGCATTGGAACCAGGGACTTTCCCTTAATTTCTCTTCTTATAGTCTACTTAAACTCTCCTTCTTGATCTAATCCTCCTGCTTTTTTAAGTTCTTGTTTATAAGCAATCTCAAAGTACCCTTGCCTTTGGAAAAAATAAGGATAGAGGTAAAGTTTTGAATTTAACCCTCTAGGGGCACAGGTAGCCTAAGAGGGGCTAGGTAAGGGAAGTTAAGTCTTTGAGGACTTAAAGATGTCTTAGTAGGGGACCTATTGATAGAATCAAAGGAAGGGAATTCT